CTGCCACGCACCTGGTGTCTAAGTTGTCTTCTGGATCATGGAGGCTCCATGTGTAGAAATCTAAGGGTCCAAGGATATGCTTCACTCCCAGCTCTTGCTGGTAACCAGATTCTTCCCTCCTGCTTCAGTGATGGCTCATTTTATACCCAGAAGTATGGCGATCACAATGAACACTGTTAACATTCACTCATGACTGAATCCAGTCAGTGTCTCCTTGGCCCTACCTTCCCAGATCTATCAGGAAAAAGTCATTTGGTGGAAGTAGCAAAGGTTATGGCTAAAAGACCCATATTAAATAATTTACTGCCCTGCAACCACTCGTTCAATTGTCTGTTCATTCATTTATGAAGCTGAATTAGCTAGTTGCTGTTGAGCTGCCACTGACCCACGGTGACCCCAGGAGGGTCAGAACCAATTCAACCATCTCTATATTGTAATTTAGTGACTCTGATCACTTGCCTCAAGTCGCACAATGATTTTCAAACTCTTTTCTGAATTGTCCTTCTCCCTACATAGAGAGGTTTTATGGCCTTAATTTTTCAGAGGTAGATCTTCAGTTCTTTCTTTCACGTTGCCTCTGGATGGATTCAAACTGCCAATATTTCAATGAGCAGCCAAACACATTACCATTCTCAGCACCAGGGGCTCTGAAACGGAATTGGGATGACATGTTCAAATGTGAGCAAAATGGCTCTCAGGATGGTGGAGCTCACAGCGTCAGGCCATGGCCTCGAAAGGCTGCAGGACTGCAGACTTCAGTGTGGTGCTACAACTCACGGTGAGGAAAACAAACCAGACACGCACAACTAGACCAATACACTCATGTAACATCATGCTCAATGGAGACAAGGCTGAAGTTGCCAAGGATTTCAACTTGCTTGGATCCCAATCAATTCACATGGAAGTGAATTAGCAGTCAAGAGATCAAACAATGATTGTATTTGGTAAATCTCCTGCACAAGATCCCTCTGAGGTGCTGAAGAGCAAGGATGTCACTTTCAGAATTAAGGTATGCCTCACCTGAGCCGTGGTACTTTCAATAACCCCATTTGCCTGTGAAAGTGCAACACTGAATAAAGAAATCTCTGAAATTCAGTAGCAGAAAGTTCAGAAAGTGTTTCACCAGGAAGTAAATCCACTGTGGAATCCTCAGCCAGGCATGTCAGAAGACACGTGCTCCCAATTTATGGTTCCAGCGCCAAGTACGCAGAATGCATATTTGGTGCATACCCTGTTTCCCCGAAAGTAAGACATCCCCTGAAAATAAGACCTACTTACAGTTTTGCCTCTCACTGAAATATAAGGCACCCCCGAAAATAAGGCCCCCCGAAGCTACCGTAACCTGGACCGTAGCGGTGGGCGCTGCCACACAGCTCACTGTTGGCCACAGCGCAGCCGGAACAGACAGGAAGTGTGAGGTCTCTTTTAATAAACCAATAAACAATAAATGTGTACCGTATTCTTCTTCATGGAAAAATAAGACATCGCATCTTTGGGAGCAAAAATTAATATAAGACACTGTCTTATTTTGGGGGAAACAGGGTAAACAGATACTACCTCCTGAGACTGACTTGGAGGACAGTGGCCACCAACTGGCCACACTGCCATGCAGGGCAGGCCCCCATACTCAGTGGCCCACCATACACACACACACACACACACACACACACACACACACACACACGACAGAGGTTGGGGGCTGCCCAAACTGGAAACATGGATCGCTTCACAAATTGGACACC